TTCCCACCTGAGACAGGAGTGATGTGAGGGAGGGTGGGAAACTGCATGGCAGGGAAGGGGAGGAGGGGCAGTCCTGCCCCCGCCACTCCTCGGACACCCTGAGCGCCAGCCCTGTTTCATTCTGGGGCAGGTGAGGGGCAGGTGTGGGAAATAATGAGGAAACACCTGGAAGTCTGAGGAAACACCTGTGTCTTCCTTCGAGTAAATCCGGAAGCCACTGGGTTGGGCCCTGCCTTTCCGGTTTTCTTTGAGGAGTGGAGGCAGGTGGAAGGGGTTAATGGAGGAGGGTGTCCCCACCCCAGTTCACTGCAGGGCCTTGGGGAGGGGTTCGGCTTTTGCAGAATCAAATCAGGGTCCTGCCACATCTTCCAGTGCCTGGAGGTGGGGGTGAGAACTCGGGGGAAGGGGACAGGAGCTGCCAGGGCCCCCTGAGGCCTGGCATGGTGGGGGCTTGGGACAAGCAGAGATAGGACAAGCAGGTGGGGGCAATGGTAAGAACAATGGTCACTGGGGTGTGGGTTCATCGGGGGGGTGGCAGGTCATCTCTGGACCTTAGAAGCTGTGGTGTAAAACGAGGGTGAGAGGAGTCGCTAATGGCCTTCCAGTCTGGTACCCCAGGACCAGTTAGATCCTGGAATTGAGCCCATGGGGGCACCTGCAGGGCTCAAAGCCAGGCAGACCCTTCTCCATCAAAGCTGGTGCCTCTCTGCTGCCTAGCAGCAAATATGACAATCGGGATCTGATGGGGGCAGGCGGGAGGCCCATTCCCCCACCCCCCACGGCACATCTGCCCACAACCAGAAGAACCAGCCTGGGACTGTGCATGGCTCATCTTGGAGGGTGAGCTCATTTATCTGAACCAGAGTCCAGGAATTGGGGAGAGTCTTGGGAAAGGCACCCCATTGTATGGATGGGGACACTGAGGCTTCCAGCAGCAGTGACTCAGCCCTTCTCCTGGAGCCTGGCATGTCAAGGGTGGAGCAGGGCGGGAGAGGGGAGTGATCCCAGTCTGTGCTGGGAAGAGGTGCCCAGCCCCACTGGCTCTCAGACAGGGGCTGTCCCTCTTCTGGAGACTCTGGGGATCCACTCTTCCTGAGGGGGTCCCTCTTCTGGAGACTCTGGGGATCCACTCTTCCTGAGGGGGTGGGTGAGGAGGGGCCAGAGTGTAGGGAGGCCTGGTGACGGCTCTGGTTGTACCTGTCTGGGGGGGTCTAAGTCCCTCCCCACAGATTGAGGGGGCGGGTGGCAGAGAGCGAGTGCCAAGCCAGCAGAGACGGTGGCTGTCAAGTTGAGGGGGGTTCCCAAGGGACGGTGTGGGGAGATTTGGTGTTTTGTCTGGGCACCCCAAACAAGCTCAGGCTTCTGGGTTCATGCAACTGACCCTGGATGGGGGACCTAGTATTGGGACGACATGCAGAGGGCTCATCCTTCACCCACACCAGCTTGCAACCCCGCCCCCTCACCCTGGCCACAGCTGTGGTCTGTGATTGCCCCTGGAGTAGCCGCACCCACTCTCCTATGACGACACACACCTGATTCCCAGGCCACGCCCAGGCCCGCTGAAGCCAGCCCTGGGACTCGTCCTCCACCATGCTGCTGCCCTGGCAGGGGCTGACCTGACATACGGCCTGGGGAAGAAGGATGTGGTTGGTGGGCAGCTTTGCCCACAACATTGCCTGGCTCTGTGCCTGGCTCCACACTGAGTGGGAGGGAGAGGACACAGGCCTTGGCTCAGAGGGACAGTGTCTGCTCTGAGAGGCCCTAGCTTAGGGGTGGCAAGCAGGGCACAGGGGCTGGCCTGTGGGTCTCTTGGGGAGCTGAGGGGAGCAGAGAAGCCAGAGTCAGGGCTGTCCTGCCCCAGGCACAAAGGAGGCTGCATCTGAGCTTGACAGAACATCGGGCTCCCTTGAAGGCCCCTTGTTTATGACCAGTGTGAGGGGATGTGACTGCTCTCCCCCAGATGGTGGGCATCACACATGCAGGAGGAGAAAGGACCACTGAAGTCCCCCGACTTGGGACTTGAGCCAGGGTCTGGACCCAGACATTTGTTCGCCATTAGGGACCCTGCCGGCTCTTTCCCTTGTACCCATCGTGACCCGACCACAGAGTACCGGCACTGTCTTTACCACCCTCTCTCACTGGCTAGATTGTGTATTCCGAGGGCTGCTCTGTCTTGCTCTTTGAATCTGAGGGCCTGGCACATGGTGGGTACTTATAGACACCTTTTGAATAAATGTGGTGGTGGCCACGGTCCTCCAGGGGCTTTGTTTATGTCCCTCCTTCTCCTCTCATGTGACTGTACGATCCCACTGTTATTCCCATTTCCCAGAGAAGGAAACCGAGGCTCAGAGAGGCTGAAGGGCTTGCCAATCTCCGCCCTGCTGGCTTCAACTCCAGGCTGGTCTGTCCTGGTCCAGTGGGGCTCTGAAGCCCACGGCTCTGGCCTGGCCCCCAGGGGCTGGGAGTGTGCAGCGCCCCCCCTTCTCTCCACCTCCCAGCACCCTGGGCTACCTTCTGCCTCCCCAGCATGGGAATCTCCTAGGGAGCTTGTAAAACAGTCCCAGGACCAGGCTTGTCCTGGGCAATGCTAATAGAGGGTTTGGAGCAGGGGCTGGAGTCTGCGTGGGGATTCTGATGATCACGGCAAGCTGAGGCGGGGCATTGGCCAATGATGTTTCCGGGATAACTCCAAGAGTGACATGACCTCATCTTGAGAGGGGTGGGGCTAAGGATGGAGGGAAAAGCAGGGTGGGGATGGTGCCTAGATTTGGTAGGAGTGTGTACTCTGTGCCGCCCAGGCTGAGAGGTTCTGGTCTTGATGAGCTTGGGGCAGGTGTGCAATCTTGACCTGGAGGAATTGTCCCAACTCCTTCTCTGCCAACCTGGCTCCCTCCTCCCGAGCCCAGCTGCAGCCTCTCCAGGAGAGGACCCTTCAGAGGGTTCAGAAGAGGAGGGCAGCTCCCTCCTTGACAACCGAGGCTTGGGGTGACCCTCCTAAGCTGCTTCCTGCAATGGGGCATGACCGAGGACGGAGCACTCCAGGGTTCCCAGGGTTCCCTGCAGGGAGTGCTGTATTTCTGGCTGCAGTTTTCTCTCCAGGGTCAAGTGACAAATTCTTCTAAGGTTGGAGTCTATGCCATCATCTCTCCCACCCCAGCCTCTGAGTGCTGGGTACACAGTGGGCATGTGATCTGTGGTATTGGATGAGTGGTTTGATGGGTCAGTGAGCACACCCCAAAACCTTCAGTGGTGGGGTACAAACACACACACTGGGGGCAGAGAATGAAGAGATCCCTGAGACCCCAGGCTGAGAGCCGGTGTGGACCTTGGCTGGGAAGTAGGAGCTGGATCCCAGGCTCTGCTTCTCCACTTGCGTGGTGTTCAACCCCGGGCCGGTGGTCTTTCACTCTCTCTCTGGTTGGGGCTTGGTGGCCTTTGAAGGCCATTTCTAGCCCTGAGGGTGCAGTCTGTGGTTGAACTCCAGGCCTGGACACTGGGGTTTGGGTCCCTGATTCTGAAGTCTCTTTACTCATATTTTGTGCTAGGGTTAGGCAGTATCAGGTTCTTTTTCCCAGGTCCAGCCCCAAAAGTGCCTGCATCAGCTCTGCTCATACCTCTGAGCTGATGGCCCATGAGCCTGAATGAGATGTGGCAATAACCCTGTGTCTCAGCTCTGGTCATGCTGAGACAGAATTTCCTGTCCCTGCACAGTTCAGGCACAGGCAGGCCTCTCTGGACTTCTCTCACCTCAACAGAGACACCACAGAACAAGGACAGTGGCCAGCGTCTCGGGTCACCCCACAGCACCCAAGGAGGCCTTCGTGTTTTGGCCCAGATCCCCAATCCTCCCTCCAGCTTTCAGTGCCGGGGCAGGCTCTCAGGCCAAGGTCATGACCACTGTGGGCAGAGCTCATGCCAGGCACTGCTGGGAGGTGGGTGGAAATTAAAGTTCCTTGGCCTCTGCCTGCAGGGCATTGTGGGAGTTTGGAGAGCCTCTGTTCCAAGGCTGAACGCTGAGAACTTTAGGTGAATCCCCTCCTCTCTCTGATTCTCCCTCAGTCCTCCTTACTTTATAGGGTTAATTCAAGGATCAGGAAAATTGTATACATTTAAGAAGTTTAAAGACAGTGGCTCCAGATGGTGGACAGGGCATAGGTTGGGACAGCTGACAGGCTGGGGCTTAGACATTAGCCCCTGTTGACTGATGATGTCTTGGGAAGCCAGCTCCCTTGACTGTGGACTAGTGTGGGAGACCCACCTGAGGCCCACCTCACAGAACGGGATATAGCATGTTGGAGTCAGGCAGTCTGTGTGGTGCCTGAGGGGCCAGGGGACCAGAGATTCTTAGTGTCCTCCTCCCCTCCCCCACTGAATGAATGAAGCTGCCAAGCCCAGCCTGGGATCTGTGGACATGACAGAGAGCTGTTGGGAACTGGTCCCTGGGCAGGACTGTTTCCATGTGGGGACTCTGAGGTCATGGCAGGACCGGGGGGTCACATATAAAACTAGTGGCAGGACAGGGTGTCCCTCCCACCACAGTCTAAGGTGGGTACCCCAGGTTAGGTGAGGGCAGTAGGTGGAGTAGAGGAGCTGTGTGCTGAGTTGGGGTGCTCATCAGGTAGGAGTGTGGGGGTGCAGGGCCCTGGGTGGGGTGCTACAGTGGAGAGGTGGAGTGAGGGGCAGCTGGGCTGCAAGGGAAGGATGGGAGGCTAAGGAGAGGCCAAGGGACAGGGCTGGTCATGGGGCAGGGACAAGGGGGTCTTCCTTGCATGTTCCTGTGTGGCTGGTGGTGTGTCCTCCCCTTGTACAGATGAGAAAGCTAGTGTCCAAGGACCAGAGGACCTGTCTGCAGGCTGTGGAGGGTGGCCTAGGAATGCAGCTGGTAGTGGGCGCTGTTTCCATGGCAACCTCGGAACCAGGCTAGAGCCAATGGGGAAAGAGAGTCCTGGGATTTTTAGATCTAGAAAAGATGCCCCAACCCTCCAGCCCAGCCTTGGAAAAACAGGCCTAGAGAAGGGAGGTGAGAACCCTCGGGTCACACAGTGAGACAAACAGAATGCCACCATGAACCCGGCTCTCTCCTATGAACCCAGCATATTGAACCCCCATAGCTGCACCCCAAGACAGCCCAGGAGGGCATCGCTGAGGGCTCTTTCAATGAAGGCATTCACTGTGGGGCAGGGAGTCCTTCTGTGGGGCTGACTCACTGCCTGGGGACGCGATTGCCACAAAGCAGCCTGCACTAAGGCCCCGCTGTCCCCTGGGGCTCCAGGAATGGGAGCCGGCTCCCGGGCCGCCCAGCCTGAGTCACTGCTAACTCCGAGTTGTGCGTGTTTTTTCACTTGGCCCCACACCCCCAGAGTTGGGTGGGAACTCTGAGACGGCACCGCACACAGAGAAGTGAGTCCACCCTGGGCTGAATAATCCAGAGTAGGAAGTCCAATGGGACCGGAGTGATGAAATCAGAGGGGAACCTGGAGTCAGCAGTTGGAAGGCCACGCCTTCCCCAGGTGCATATAAAGGATCCTGGGGATTGAGCCGCCACAGCATCCTCTCAGCCGCCCTGAGCACCTTTCTCTTCCCTCTGCCGACTCGCTCGCTCGCTCACTCACCTCCTCCTTGGCACCATGACCACCTGCAGCCGCCAGTTCACCTCCTCCAGCTCCATGAAGGGCTCCTGTGGCATTGGTGGTGGCTCCAGCCGCATCTCCTCTGTCCTGGCCGGAGGATCCTGCCGGGCGCCCAGCACCTATGGGGGCCTGTCAGTCACCTCCTCCCGCTTCTCCTCTGGGGGAGCCTGCGGGATGGGGGGCGGCTATGGCGGTGGCTTCAGCAGCAGCAGCAGCTTTGGTGGGGCCCTAGGTAGTGGCTTTGGTGGTGGCTTCGGTGGCGGCTTTGGTGCTGGTTTTGGTGTTGGCTTCGGTGGCGGCTTTGGTGCTGGTTTTGGTGTTGGCGATGGCGGCCTCCTGTCTGGCAATGAGAAGGTGACCATGCAGAACCTCAACGACCGCCTGGCCTCCTACCTGGACAAGGTGCGCGCCCTGGAGGAGGCCAACACCGACCTGGAGGTGAAGATCCGAGACTGGTACCAGAGGCAGCGGCCCTCCGAGATCAAAGACTACAGCCCCTACTTTAGGACCATTGAGGACCTGAGGAACAAGGTGGGTGACTGATGGTTGGGGCATTGAGAGAGAGACTAGGGCTGCAGTGGCCTTGAGTAAATCTCTTGTTGGCAATTCCATTTATAAACAGGGAGACAGAGGTGCCTTTGGAGAGTGGCCAGATAACTGGTGGCAGAGGGTCCCTTTTCAGCATTTCTGTGTCTCAGCTGGGTCTGGAACTCTGCATCTCCATGCAAGAGTTCATTATACTGCATGCTCAATTTCTCAGCTTTGGGTCCAGGATAGGGGTGGCGGGAGATGTCGGTGCATCCTTGTACACCCTGAGCCAAGTGGAGAGGTGTCTTAGCCTGGTTGGGGGAATATAGGGCTTGCCCTGCCAGACAGCTGATCCTCAACTTTGGAGAGACTCCTTTTGTCCCTCTCTGCTCTTCACCCTTGAGCAGCAGGGTCCTTGACTGACCTCCTGTCCTGTTAACCCCATTCCAGATCATTACTGCCACCATGGAGAACGCACAGCCCATTCTGCAGATCGACAATGCCAGGCTGGCAGCTGACGACTTCAGAACCAAGTGAGCATCCAGCATGATGGGCTGAGGGCAGAGGACAGGGGACAATGGAGTAGGGCTATCCATCCAGACATCAATCCTTGGGAACCTTAAGGAGGGGACCTGAGGCTCTGAACTCCATCTTGCCAGGTATGAGCATGAGCTGACCCTGCGCCAGACCGTGGAGGCCGATGTCAACGGCCTGCGCAGGGTGCTGGATGAGCTGACCCTGGCCAGAACCGATCTGGAGATGCAGATTGAAAGCCTCAAGGAGGAGTTAGCCTACCTGAAGAAGAACCACGAGGAGGTGAGGCCATAGCCGGCTTTGGGGTTAGGAGGCTGGTTGGTGGAGTTGCTGGATCTGCCTAGGCCCAGGAGAGGGGGTCAGCTGATCTGACATCCCCTTCTATCCCTTCCTAGGAGATGCTTGCCCTGAGGGGTCAGACTGGTGGGGATGTCAATGTGGAGATGGACGCCGCCCCTGGTGTGGACCTGAGCCGCATCCTGAATGAGATGCGCGACCAGTATGAGCAGATGGCCGAGAAGAACCGCAGAGATGCTGAGGCCTGGTTCATAAGCAAGGTAAGGCTTGGGTCCTCTGGGCTCCTACAGGAGGACTTCCTAGCTGGGGAGGCTTAGGAGAGCCTCACACCTTTTGCTCCTGTCTCCTATCTCAGACTGAGGAGCTGAACAAAGAAGTGGCCTCTAACAGCGAACAGATACAGAGTGGCCGCAGTGAGGTGACTGAGCTCCGCAGAGTGTTCCAGGGCCTGGAGATCGAGCTGCAGTCCCAGCTTAGCATGGTATGAAGGATGAAGCCCCACTGCAGCCCCCAAGTCACCAGCAGTGGCCACCCCCCGCAACACTGTCACAATCCAGTCCTATATATATATATTTTTCCCCACCGGTGGAACTGGAGCCACCATAGTATCCATTGTGGAAATGGAGAAATTAAGGTCTAGAATGGTGAAATAATTTTCTCCATGTTATCTGACCCAGCTGGAGTCAAAATCCTTGCATCTCTCAGGAAACGTGCTCAGAGACCTGGAGGGACAGGTGTGAACACCTCTGTTGACTTTCCTCTCCCTTTTCCATTTACAGAAAGCATCCCTGGAGAACAGCCTGGAGGAGACCAAAGGCCGCTACTGCATGCAGCTGTCCCAGATCCAGGGGCTGATTGGCAGCGTGGAGGAGCAGCTGGCACAGCTGCGCTGCGAGATGGAGCAGCAGAGCCAGGAGTACAACATCCTGCTGGACGTGAAGACGCGGCTGGAGCAGGAGATCGCCACCTACCGCCGCTTGCTGGAGGGCGAGGACTCTCAGTGAGTGGGACCCCCAGTGTCGCCTCTCAGCCTCTCAGCCCCCTGCTGTGACCAGCTCATCTAATGCTCCCATGTTCTTTCCCCCACAGCCTCTCATCCTCCCAGCACTCATCTGGCCAATCCTATTCTTCCCGGGAAGGTAAGTTTCCTGGGGATCCTGGGCACTGTGGCCGAGCCCCTCTCTGCAGAGCCCCTGGGTCTGCCCAGGAGTCTGCTCAGCTCCCGGAGCCCTTCTCACCTCCGATCCTCTCTCTCTCTCCGGCAGTCTTCTCCTCATCCTCTCACCAGATCCGGCCCATCCTCAAGGAACAGAGCTCCTCCAGCTTCAGCCAGAGCCAGAGCCAGAGCCAGAGCTCCAGGAACTGATCTGCCTCTCCCAGAACCTCCTGCCACCTGCAGGCCTCGCCTCCTGGAGGCCTGGGCCAGGACCCTTTCTCCCAGCGCGGCCCCAGCTGTCTCCCTTTCCCTGTGCTGGTGGTGGGCTAATAAAGCTGACTTTCTGGTTGATGCAAACCTGAGTGATCTCTGTGCTTGAGCTGATGGAAGGGATGTTGAAGGTTTCTCCCAGGAACCCTCCTGGGGCCCCATACCCTGAGGGTTGCAGGAAACAACATGTCTCAGAGGAGCTGGAAGGGTCTTCCTAGAAGAGCGCCATGCCATGGCGGGATGGGGTGGGCGGGAGACACAGGAAGGGGGGAGGCTTTGGACGTGAGTGGATGGTCTCCTTTGAAGCCTTGCACAGAAGTTCCTTCATTATTCTCCCTAACGACCCTGTGAGGGCTGTTGTGATCAGGCTCATTTTGGGCTTGACAATCCCTGGGATTCAGGGAGGTTGAGTAACTTGGGTAAAACCGTTCAGAGAGGAAGTGGCATTTGGAGTTCAAACTCAAGTATACTTGGCTACAAAGTCCATATCTTTCTCTGACCATCACTTTACCTTTTTAGGTATTTAACCTCAAAGACTCCAAAGCTTGAGCTCTTAGCTCCACCCTTTGTCTCTCTGGTGTTGGAGGGTGGAAGGGAGAACCTTCTGTCTGGAGGATTGTCTTCCCCACTCCTTCAAGGCCCTCCTCTTCCTGATTGTCCTTGGCTGTCAACTGAATGCTGACGAGTCCCCTAGGCAATATTTGTCATCCAAGTCTTCCTCTTCCCTATGGCTACCACCACATTCACAGCTTCTCCCTCTCTCCCTGGAACCGGGCACAGGCTACTATCTGGGGCCTCTTGCTGTCCATCCTGATTTCTACCCAGAGACCTTTCTCACAAGAAGTGGTCAAGCTCCGGATCAATGATGTCATCAGGACTCCCCACCTTAATAATCCGTGATGGTTCCCTTTTCCTTTGCTACTCAGCTCTTGAGTCTGTCCTGCTGCCTCTCCCTGCCCCGTGCCCATGAGTCACCCCTTCCTGACTAATTGCATGGCCCACACCTCTCAGTCACTGTTCCTTCTTCCTGATGTCTTCCATACTTTATAAATTTTAAGTGTTTTTTTTTGGGGGGTGGTTTTGGGGATTGAACCCAGGGGTGCTTAACCACTGAGCCACACCCCCAGCCTTTAAATTTTTTTTTTTGTAGTTGTAGATGGACAGAATACTTTCATTTTATTTGTTTATTTTTATGTGGTGCTGAGGATTGAACCCAGTGCCTCATGCATACTAAGCAAGTTCTCTACCACTGAGCCCCAGCCCCAGCCCCAAACTTTATAATTTTTAAATAAAAAATACAAAGTTACATATGTATAACATCTTAATACTTTTGCGTGTATGTGTGTGTGTGAAAAAGATCCATTTCCAAGTGGACCTCATTTCTAATTTCCTACTTCCCATTTTCAACATAAGCTGTTTATTTTGGTATTTACTTCCTTCCTTATTTATTTATTCTGTCAATGGACATAATATCTTTATTTTATTTGTTTTTATGTTTATGTGATGCTGGGGATTGAAACCAGTGCCTCACTCATGCTAGGCAGTCACTGTACCACTGAGCCACAACCCTGGCCCCTTGCCTCTTATTTCTAAGTAATAGGAGTATACTACCATTTCTTGATTTTTTAAATGTAGTTTTTAATCACTTGGTTTACTATGAAGGATGAGGGCTCAGTTCTCATATATTGCATTGTTCCCCCCACTTCGTTTTTTAAAATATCTTTATTTTTATTCATTTGTTTTGATGTGGTGCTGAGGATCCAACCCAGTGGCTCATGCGTGGGGGACAAACACTCTACCACTGAACTATAACCCCAACGCCCCCCCTACTTCTTCTTAACTTCTCTTCTTCCCACCTCTTAATATATTAATATTTTTCATTAGTTAAATGTTTAATGTTTACATTGGTATGACTACTTATATATTATTCATAGTGTGGTAGTAGAAGCAAATGTGACTCCATTTTGTTTTGTGACTTCATCCTGTAGAACAACCATGCCAAGTAGAAGGGTCATGACTGGGGCAAGATGTTTTTTTCCTTTTGCTATAGAAACCTTAAAGAACACGGAGCTACCTAATGGGGCATTGTTTCTGTAACTGGGGTGACTGGGCTAACTGTGATTGGTTAGGCTTCCCACCGCTTGACTGCACTCTCCCGCTTCTGTAACCTGGCTTGCTTGCATTGGCTGGACCCCCGAACAACCCTTTTGCGGTTTTCAGGCTTGTAAGGAGCGCCCTTGCAATTGTTCGGGGCTGATCAGGGAACAGCTTTATGTTCTGGTCAGCTGCCACTGGTGTGCTTCAATAAAGGCTTGATTCGATTATATGTGAGTGGTCTGGAAGTCAGTTTATGAAACCCTGGGATGAAGCTTTAACTAATAACAATAGTCAAATCATATTTTTTACTTTATTGAATTTCCTTGAAATAAATACATATTTTTCAATTTGCTTAGGTTTTCTATGTACCTATCATTCATTTGTCCCCTAACTCATGGCTGGAAGTATGTCTCTTCTTTATGGTATTCCATTAGTATCAGCTTCTTGAAGGTGTCTCTCCCGGAGCCCTGTCCTCCTGCCCCAGTCTTTTCTGAGTGCTCCCCAGGCCTGCTGCCCAACTGTCATCCTAGAATTTCTCTTCACTCTCATCCTGGGCATCTCTTATTTTTTCTGTTTTGTATCCATTGTTTTCTGAATCCCATGTCTCCCTGTTTCTCTCCTCCTCCTCTTTTTAAGAAAATATTTTTAGTTGTAGATGGACACAATACTTTTATTTTATTTATTGATTTTTATATAGTGCTGAGGATCGAACCTATTGCCTCATACGTGCTAGGCAAGTGCTCTATCACTGAGCCACAACCCTAGCCTCTCTACCCACCCCTCTTAATTTTAGTGAAGCACACCTTGTTCACCAAATCTGCTCCCCAGATCATAGGGTGAACCTATGACTCAGAAGAACTCAAAATCCCAATATGCAAAGGTAATCACTGGTACTAAGTTTCTTGCTCATAAACACACATAACACACACACACACACACACACACACACACGAAATATGTTTATATCTACACATTACAATTCTATCTATAATTACACTGACCGTTCATACCATTTTGCATTCTTTTTTCTTTTTCTACTGGGGATAGAACCCAGGGCCTTGTACATGCTAGACAAGTGCTCTATCACTGAGTAGCACCCTTGGCATCCATTTTTATTATTACTATAATAATAATAATAATAATAGTAATAATAGAAACATCTTTCTATATTATTAAAAGTGTACACATTTCTAATGTTGTTTCCACTGTTTGCTGCTGTCATTGAAAATAGCACAGCAATGATCATCTTTCTGCACAACCCTTACACCAATATTTTAGATTATTTCCTTAGGCTAGATTTACAGGAGCATAATTACTAAGTGAGAAGATACAAATGTTTTAAGCTTCTTGATTGGTATTGTGAAATTGATTTTAAATGAAGCTGTGCCAATCTGCATAATTTGCAAGCAGGCAATGGGAATTTCCAAACATTTACCCTGACTGAGCATTGTCTTTTAAATACTTCTTGTGTAAGTTGATTCATGTGTCACTTTTATTTTTATTTTATTTTATTTTTTTTCATGTGTCACTTTTAAAGCTGACATTATGGAAGGCCCTTACACAGGGACATAGACAGGCTTACTACTCAACTCCAGGACTGGTGCAGATGTTCATGAGTTGTTCAGTAGTGAGATGTCAGAACAACCTCTACTTGAGTGCTTTTATTAGTATTATAATAACATATAATATAGTTACCTGTGCCTCTGTCTTCAGAGGCACAGGTAACTATATTATATGTTATTATAATTACTAACCCTTGGATTACTTAGGCTTGAGTTATCATCAGAGTTTATGAAATACTATTTTAGATATATAAATACTATATTTAGATGGACCCTTGGGAAGCTCCATAAGAAAGGTCCCTGCTTGACAGATGAGAAAACTGAGATGTGTGTTTGTCAGGCTTGCATTACTCTAATGAAATTTCAGAGGCTGGTTCTGAAAAAGAGGTTTATTTTGACGCATGACTGTCAAGGTTCAAAGTAGTAGATTGGGCAGGAGGTGGGTGGGCATTGGTTCGGCCTCAGGTGTTGGCCTTCTTGCTGGCAGAGTTCCAAGGTAGTACAGGGCATCACTTGGCAAGAGATGGTGAGTGTATACGCCTATGTCGATGTGTCTGGTCTGTCCCTCTTCTTACCATAGCGTCTCTACCCTAATGATCTTATCTAAACCTAACCACTTTCCAAAGATGCTACATACCCCCCAATACCATAGTTGATTAAGTTTATCCCCTTTTGCTACGATGAACATATGACTTTCGTGATCGTACTCATTATGAGCTGTGGGGCAGAGAGATCCTATGCAAATCATAGCAAGCTCTAAAGTAATTGAGGCATAACAAACAAACACAACAACATTCTCAGGGTCTGACAGCTTGTTAGTAAAACCCCTGAGAGCAGGAACCATGTTTTTCTTGTTCATCGCTGTATTTTGTGTTAATGGAACATTTACCTTTAATTTTTTTTTTTATTGGTTCTTTTAGTTATATATAACATTTGGATTTATTTAAAGAAGGACAATATCAAAGCAGAAATGTGAGTTTCTGTTTCAATAAAGGAAGTAGCTTTTCCATCTAGGAATGCTTACTACCTGGAGCTCTCAAACTCAGGTTCAAGTCCCAAATCAGACTGCATCTGGCTTTGGATGGCCTCTCCCACTTCTAAAATCCTGGACCCCAGGTGAGGAGATTGAGCACTCCCTCTGTGCCTCGTAATTTGTCTATTTGGAACACACCCCCGGATTCCTTAGGCTTGAGTTAGTGTCAGAGTTTGTGAAATACTATTTTAGATAATTGCATGAAGTGCTAAGACAATAACTGGAGTAAGAATTAATGATAGCCCATAAAGTGTATCTGCTGATGTAAATGAATTAGTGGTCAACTCGTAAGGTTTTGCTTTCTTTGGAGCCATTGTTTCCAAGAGCTATAAAAAGCTCAGTGTCTCTCCTGGTGTCTGAGATAAGCAACTGGCTATGCTTGCTTTCCCACCGCTGCAGCATGTTTAAGACCTTCTGACAGCTCCCTGAAAGACAAACACAAAGGAGACTTTTTGTTTTCTAGTCAACAACAACCCTTAGACAGTACCTTACACACAAGGGGTGCTCAGTCAAGATTTGTGGAGTCAAGCCATGGACCTTTGGTTTAGAAGTCTCTGCTCCTTCAGATTTCTGTGAAGTACTGCAAGTACTTCTGTGCATTCCATGTGCCTCTCTCTATGCCAGCACCAGGTAGATGAGAGAGTGAATACCCATTGAGCCCTGGAGGGAAGGAGCCCTATCTACCAGAGCTGAGGCACCAAGCCAATGACTTGGTCCTTCCTCTAATGTGCTAGGTGGGTCACCACCTTGGGCAGGTGTAGCTCCACATTGCCTTTCCCATTACTCAGTGGCCCATGATGGCTTTGTGCGGATGGAGGTGTGGCAAGGCAAAGATGGTGGCTGTGCAGGAGGAGACCCCATTTTTTGACTTCACTCCCTGCTAACACATTGCTGGGCTGCAGGGGTCCCTCTTTCTCTTCCAACTATAGAATTATTGCTTATCAAACAGATATACTTTTTTTCCCCCTTAAGCTTTTAGCTACTACATGGAGAGTATGACAACATAAATGATATGTAGAAAAAGAAAACATCCATCCATTGTCTAGTCCCAGAGTTTTTATCCTCCAAGACGATTTTCCAGCCTCATGATGTGGGAATCAATAGCAAAGATGATTTGCTGGTTATTTAGGGGGTTTCATTTAATGTTTAATTCATAGAGATAAAAGGATATACATATGAGGATATTTATTGCTGCATTATTTGTAGGGAGAGAAAATGAAAAGTAAATTTTGTACTGGTAACAAATGGGTTGTATAAATAATGGTTCATTTATACCATGGAGAATTAGGTAGTCATCAAGGTCAATAAATTGGACCCATGACAGATGGCAAGGAGGGATTCCTCCAGATATTGGGGAGAGAGAAGAGCATATGTAGTATATTGATTTTACTTATGTGAAATAAACAATAACATATCCCTCATTTCTCATTTATATATATTCATATAGTATGTATGTATGTATGTATGTATGATTATATGAACACCAGAAGTATGAACAGATACATATGAAACTATTAACACAGATTGCTTTGAGGTGGGGTGGAAGGATGTGAATGGATGGAACAGGTAGAGGGCTATAGGGATCCAACAGGTAGGGGCTACAGGGATCCAAGAAAAATAGGAAGAGAAAAAATGGTGCACAAACTTTTATACTTATGCATAAAATTGTGCATGCATGTGTATGAATAAAGAAATTAAACAAAAATTGGACATTGGGCTGGGGATATAGCTCAGTTGGTAGAGTGCTTACCTCGCATGCACAAGACACTGAGTTCAATCCCTAGCACAAAAAAAAAAAATTAAACATCAAGATTCAGTTAATTTGTTGAATACCACATCAACTTCCTAGCTAATCTGACCTGTCAATTTTATATTACCATAGCATATAGTTTTAATTTACTTTGTGCTCAGATAATGATATGATTAGTCTATTAAAAGTGATAACCAAAAGAAAAAAAATAACTAAAGTAAGATTGTAGTCTCTTGCAAAAAGTGGAGGGTCGAGGCCAATTTATGTTTGAATTTTGAGGGTGAAGTTGGGAAGATCCTCTCGTTGATGAGTCTTGGTTTCCTCATGGGTAACTTCAGGGTATTAGCGTCTACCTGAAGGGTCATGTAAGGATTAAAAGTGATAAATAGTAGACAAAACACACAGTAGATACCCAATAAATATTTGTTCTCTCCTTTCCTCTCCTTTGTGACAGTTTTCAAAGGGGCCAAACCCTTTATTGCCTCAGTCAACTCTTGCAGCAGGGCTGGTGGACTGACTCTGTGCTGGAGCAAATGCCTCTTCCCTGCGTGCTCTCTGTTAGCTCCATTCACCTGACTCATCCCATTACAGGGGAAGAAAGTGAGGCTCAAGGAGGCTGAGCAACTTACCCTAGGATGTAGGGTAAGTTGGGTAGGTAGGGTTCAGAATGGCTCCCAGGAGGGCAGACCCCTGGCCTCATTTGACTTGATCAGATTTGCAGAGAAATCAAGTTCTAGTGGTAGTTCAGTGAATTCAGCCCGAGTTCACTTAAGACTACTCTGGGGATATAGGTGTTGTGCTGGG